TATAAATATATATTTATGAGGGCTTTTCGGATTATCTGAACCACTGTACATGCCATTAAATATGGCAGATGTAAAATGTGTTTAGCTACATGGTCCAGGCTTTTAGTTGCACCAAAATGTTTCCCTTAGTTACATTAGATAATGCGATGCGACTCTCAAATAAAATATAAAAGTTTTAATATCAAGTTATCGTTTATTTGAGGAGCTAAGGCCAACTATAGTAAGATTACCTGCGACATTTGAGGTTTTATGATATTAATCCATGTCATGATATACACACCGTTAAAATCGTAAATAAAAGGACAGTTTACCTATTTAAAGTTCGTAAAAACTGAAGAAATGCTTAGTTGATGATACTATTAAGCAAAGCAAAAGTACAAGGCCTAGGAAATACTGTTTTTTTTAATAATCAAGTTTCAAATGTATGACATATACATTTTTTAATCAGAATCTAAAACTCTACCTATGCAAAATCTAATATGGTGACATTGAGAAAAGACAAAGTTTATGATTGAGGGCAAGAGATGAAACGTCATATTGCAATTCCAATTAAGGTACACCGGGGCAGGTGTGACCCAAAATTTCAATAGTTCAACTTTTTCGCGTTGTATTTCCTATTTTTAATTATGATATTCACTGAAATTTTGAGAGTATAGTCTTAAGTAGAAACGAAATCTACAAACACAAAACAAAATCAGTATAGATTTTTTTCTAGAAATTATTTTTTTCATGTTAGAATAATGGTTTACACTTCCCCAGCAAATTGGGGCAAGTGTAAATACGCTGTCTGAATTACTACAAAAGTGTTGAGACTTGATTGGGGCTAGTGTAAATAAAAGAAGAGACTAAATATAATCAGATTTTTTTACTAGGAAAAATCACTTAGGATATATTTTGCTCAAATGTGATGTTGAAATGAAAGTGTCCTCTTCTGTGAATATCTGGGGCAGGCAAACAGTGTTGTATTTCATCTCTTCTTATAACTGAGACATCTGGAGTATCCGGCCAATGAAATTGTGATGAAGATCCCGAGCGTCTTGCAAATTTTGCTTCTAAACATGGCTTTACTTCTGTTACTTGCCCTACTTAAAATTTAAATGATTTTTTAGTAGCAAATTTTACTAGAATCCAGACCCCTATTTTCAGTTCTTGAGGATCTTTCTCCAGGTATTTCACGAATTCTTCTTCTTCACGCCATTTACTTCATCGTCTAAGTCAAAATCATCATCTGAAGTATTGACTTCCATTTCTTCAAAACTATCTTCATCTGTGTCTTCTTCGTATACTTGCTTTCTTTTCAATTTTTTACCATCTTTCTTAGTTGTCGACTTCTCTGGTTTTTTAATTTTGTTTGCTTTCTCGTTCAATTTAGCAACTGCTTCCAAGGATGTAATAACTTCGGCACCTATACATACTCTCTTTCTGATCGATTTCGCTGGTTTTGGCATCTGTTTTAGCTGTTCTAAGAGAATGCTCTCAAAACTTTTTGTGTTGTTAACTGGCGGATTCAAGTGTTCTGAACTGGTCGATGGCATTTCCGGATTTATTGAATTTACTGACGATGTCTGCGGAGTTATTGGTGGTACTGTTGAAGTGGATGGCAAATTAAAACGCTCTTCTAATGTTGATCGTAAATTTGGTTGCGCTACTTGTGCTTCTTCCGGATTGTTATTTTTGCAGTTTGAATCACACCACCTTTTATATGCTTCTGGATCGTAATGTTCAACGGGAATGACCTCATTATTAAAAGGATATATCCCCCCTTTCTTAAATCCTTTGATAAGTAACGAAGGGTTTACTTGTGACCAGATTTTTGATAAAATGGTACAAAACATAGGTTTTGGTAGTTTCGTACCATAGTTTTGTCTCTGCCATTTTATGAGCTCTGCATCCCATGCCATTTTTAATGACTTAAAAACACATAAATCCATAGGTTGTAGCAGATGGCTGGAATGAGGCGGAAGTTTCACTATAATCACATCATTAGCTATTGCCTTTTCTATCAAAGAAATACTAATGTGAGACGTGTGACCATCATAAATTAATACAGTAGGTCTGTCTTTGCCAATATTTGGTAAAAAATTGTTTTCAAAATATTTTTGAAAGGTTTCCGTTTCCATCCACCCATTTTTAGTGGCTGAATAAGTCATTCCCGGGTATTCCTCAGTTGGAATCCAACTATTCCATATGTGTTTACCCTTGAACACTACGAGTGGAGGAAGTTTTTCACCTGCAGCGTTTCCCCCAAGGAGAACTGTTATATTCTCTCGTCCTGGACCACTTGTTGTCCTATGGGCTGCTCTACCCTTCTCTCCAACAACTTTTATCCGGAATGGATCCAAGCAGAAACCGGTTTCATCAATATTATAAATTTGCGATGCTGGGATATTTTCAATATGCTGTTTGAGGATATTGAAGTAATCATACATAACAAATAGATCCATAGACCTCTTTCGAGCCACTTCCACAGATTGCGGTTTTTTCTGGCTTAAATGAAATGCTTTCGTGAATCTGACGAAATAATCATTGCCAGGAACTCCATTCTTGAAAGGGGTTACTATATTATTTTCTTTCACATACCGCCCAATTAGTTGAAGAACTTCTCTCTTTGATAGTCCCATACCCCATTTTTCGAGTATTTTAATACTGTTGGAAAATTTTTGTTCTACATCATAAGGCAGAGCTGGTGCCCTACCCCCCGTATTACTTTTTATACCCCGTTTACCCTTTACATGAGTAAATAACGTAGCTTTGGGTATTTTGTACAATAATGCAGCTCTAAATAATGTTAGAGTACCTCTTTTCACAGCTTGTACTGCCTCTTTCAAATCGTTTTTGCTATAGGCTGGAGGAGCTTTCTTACGTATGTAATTCCGGACCATGTTCTGAAAACAACGGGAAAGTGTAAACGTAATAGAATTATTGGGGCAAGTGTAACCTACCATATTTCATACTTGCCCCAAGGGAGTTTTTTTTGGGGCAAGTGTAAACCACAACATTTAAAAAAAAATTCTTTAAAATTCAGAAAAGATAAGTTTATTTACTAATAGATAATACCTTTAATGGAGTGCTTACCAGAAATTACGATGAAAAGTCGTCAAAGTTTTAATACAAAGAGATTTTTATAAGAGACTACAGAACTGCGTCATCAACTGTAAATGCAAACACACTAAGTAACGAAATGTGATGAAGCGTTCGTTTTGCTAGCGCGCAAGACATCTATTGCGATGCTTAGCCGGTATCATAATAAACCTACTTGGCCATAGATGGCGCCATTATGATAGAATTTAAGACCACAAATTGGCATAGGTTACACTTGCCCCGTATTTACACTTACCCCGGTGTACCTTATCCCTTCATGTAGAGGGCAGACAGTGGCAATGTACTTTTTATTTTGTAATCCCATATTAAGTAAGGAAAAATAAAAATGGTTAGGGTGTCTTTCGTGTATCCCCGGGTATTATGTAAAAAAGGTCAAAAAAAGACAAATTGTCACCTTGCAGACTAGGTAGTTATTAGTGTGCAAATAGTTCATTCCACCAAAAGCGTCCATCTATGGAGGAATGGCTCAACGACACGACGTGCATTGTTGGTTGCAGAAAGCCGAGTAGTCTGTAGCGTTTATCTCCGAAAAGATGTGAAAGAAAGGTTGAGTAGCAAGATCGCATCTAGATGATTATATGTATTGGTGTGCATGTGTATATAATCAGTGACATTTGCTACGTGGGAAAATTATTATTAAACATGCTGCCATTGAAGTATATCTAATAGCGTCCTTGAAGATGTCACAGATCTCAGTTCAAAAAAATTTACATGAAGAATTAGGAGTAAGAAAATTAGTTTCTCGTTGGATACCCCACCTGTTGACTGAAGAGCAGAAAGCAGCCGGGGTTAATTGGTGTCAAAAAACGCTTGATCGTTTCAATTCCGGAAACTCAAAATATGTGTACAGCATTGTTAGTGGTGATGAATCGTGGATTTACTGTTATGAACCAGAAAATAAACGACAGTCGGCTGTTTGGGTGTTCCAAGGTGAAGAAAAGCTAACAAAAGTCATCCGTTCTCGAAGTGTTTCGAAAAAAATGGTCATGACATTTGTGTCAAAAGAGGGTCACATTGCAACAACTCCTCTTAATGAGCAAAGAACTGTTACTGCAGATTGGTATAGCACCATTTGTTTGCCAGAAGTCATCACCGAGCGTCGAAAAATCAACCCCGAAAGAAGAATCATCCTCCACTAAGACAATGCAAGCTCCCACAAAACTACCTACCGTGTTGTTTTATTTCCATATGCAAAACTTAAAAGACATCCCTCATATGTTGTCCTTTCTGGGGCCTGTAGCATATTTTCTCACCTGATACTTGTAATTTACTTAACCAGCCAGGGATTTTCTTTTCTCATCTCACTCATTTTTAAATCCAGCAAATTTGCATATGTAATTTCCGGAATTAATAAGAAAAAGTGGATGCGTTAAATGCTAGCTTTGAATACAAGTGTATTTGAGAAAAGAAACTAATGGAATTATCAACACAAATCCTCACTATGCACCTATGCTCTGCGAAAATGTTCTTTCCAGAAAGTGTTAACCAAATGTTATCTCTTGGCGATGATCTCCCTCTCCCCTGAGAAAAATTCCTGCGTGCAGATGCAACTTTGACAATTTGGCTGCGGAAAAATTCGTACTGAAAAACGTTGCATGGATATTTATGAAATCAAAATTGAAAATATGTTGGAAATTGTAGAATGCTCCGTTTTCTAAGTGGTCCAGAGCAGTGAAATTAGCTGAAACTTTACACGTTTTATAAATATTGTGATCCCTCTTGCTCAACTCTTTTTGCAATATTTGAAAATGAAATGCTTAACAACTCATCACTAACATTTATTTGCTGTAGCAGTCATTAAAATTTATTCATTCATTTTCTGTTGTTTCATCTCAGTAATAGAGACAAACACTTGTCTACAGGATGGGTCCTCTGGCTCATAAATTAAAAAGAAAGTATTTGCAATAAATTACATTTTATTCAACAACCTATATACACAAACAACAATCACCCACTGAAACCAGAATATTTCGAGAATCCCCTAAACCCCTGGTCGTAATCCTCCTGCGCCCTGGATCCTTGATTGTACTGCCGCTGTGCCTTGATTCCTTGAAACGGGGCGGTGATGCCCTGATCCTGTTCGTATTGCGGCTCCGCCTTATAAGGTTGCGCTTTATAAGTCTCCGCCCTGTAAGGGCGTGCCTTGTAAGACTCCGCCCTATTAGGCTGTCCTTGATAAGACTCCGCCCTGTAAGGCAGCGCGCAACCGGTGACGTTTTCAGCGCCGTCACAAGCGTTGATCAGTTCGTTAAATGCCTTTCCTTCGCCGCAGCCGTATAGTCTTGGCCTGCTGTTGATGCAGATGTAGTAGTGTTGACAGTCGGATGGTGAACGGAAGTAGCGGTACTCTTCTTGACCTAGGCCGTAGTCTTTTGCGTCTTGAGGGCAGGTGAAGCCCAAGTAAGCTGCAAAACCAACAAATCTATCTTTAAAAGGACATGCGTTTTTGATATTTTTTTCTGATATAACAGAAGCTATAAAAATAGAGATGATGAAAGGTACTGTTTATGAAAAATTGAATTGTTAATGAAATTTTAATCAATTAGCAAGATGAAAATTACTCGAAACGAAACGTATTTTAAAATACGAATCAGCATCACTGACGTCACTTCAATTTATGACAAAATATTTGGAGTCAACTATTATGACAGCTGTGATAGATGTTAAGCGACCAGTTGAGAGCCCAGCTAAACGTGTCTTAACGCCGGTGGTATTAAAAAGGGTTAAGGCCACTAATTTTCCCAGGGCCTTTTCCTAACAGGTTTCTAATGCGAATTCCACGCTTCTCAGTATTTATTGATGATTCCGTCAGTATGGGTGGATTTCTACGTAACCTTATACATCAGTCATTCTGCCATGCACAATGAGCTTATCTGCAATTTTCGGTCATATTTGATTTCATTAATACCTAGTCAGTGGCATTGTCTCCACTAATTGGCAAAGTTTTTGGCTCTTACATACTGTAACGCTCTCGTAACTGGGATTTTGAGTAACGATGAGACGCTCTCGCAATATCGACGCTTTGGCAACCAGAGTTACGCTACCGTGCATCAAGAGCGGTAGAGCTTGCGGCATCATCGAGAAGGATCGGCCGGCATCGGGAGCGTTCGAGAAGTACTGATCGATATCGTCTCCAACATCGATAAAGCGCTGCAATCATATAAATGAACATTTGGTTGAGATCGCGAGATGCTAAATAAAGAGCAATAGTTTTTTTCGGCACATGTAACACAAACTTTAACAACATACGCACCTTCTGAGTCACAACTAGCCACCTGATCAGGCCAGTCACAACGTAACGTTTCTTCGTTGAATGCAAGTCCTTCAGGACAATCAAAGATGAACGCTTTTCCATCTACACAGTTCTTGAACTGGCCGCATTCCTGTGGTCCACCAAGGCGATAGTATCCAAATTGATGGGGACACTCTGGAGTGGACTGGGCTGGCTCTGTGTAGACAGATAAAATTATCATGATATATACTAAGTGACATATAAATCCGAACACCCAGTTTAAATGGTTTTATTTTAATAAAATTTTGTATAAGTACTTAATGAAGCATAATAAGTAAATGATAAAAATTTCAAAATGATTGCACTGCTTTAAAGCCCTTTGACCTTTAATAATGTGTGGATGCACCCTGATGTGCTACGCATTCTCCAACGCGCCTAGGCATGCTTCTGATCAGGTGGTCAATGTCCTCCTGTGGTATCTCATTCCATGCAACCACCAACTCCTCTCGAAGTGCTTCTAGAGTCTGAGGAGGACGTTGCAAATTGAGCAATCTCCTACCCATCATATCCCACACGTGCTCAATTGGGGATAAGTCGGGAGATCTTGGTGGCCATGGTAACAATGTGACATCATTATGTTGAAAGAAGTCTATGGTGACTCTTGCAACATGTGGTCGGGCATTATCTTGTTGGAAAGTTGGATCTGCCAGGGTGCCAAGATAGGGTAAAAGATGGGGTTCTAGAACTTCGTGGATATAACGCTGCGCGTTCATGTTACCTCTGATGAAGATTAAAGGTGACCTGGAACCATAAACACCCCAAACCATAACTCCAACAGTGTGATGAACATGTCTTTCAACAGAAAACTGTGGATTCCTCCTTTCACCACGTCGCCTTCTAACCCTGGCACGACCATCGTGCATGCCTAAACAAAATCCAGACTCGTCACTAAAGACAATACTGTTCCATTCCTGATCCCAGAGTGACCGTTGTCTGCACCACTCAAGGCGATTATGTCGGTGTTCTCGAGTTAAAGGGAGGACCCAGTGTGGCCGGTATGAAAACAAGCCAAAACTTCTCATTCGTCGGTAAACACTTCGCATGCCAATAGGTCTTCCGTGTTCTGCAAACCATTCATTTCCAATGGACCTGGTAGAGGAGAAACGGTCCCTTAAGGCCAATAATCTTAGGCGGCGATCTTCACGGTCTGTTGTTCTACGGCGGCGTCCAGCGCTCCTTGCTCTTTGCGTACGGCGTTCTCGAAGCCTGACAATACCTAACCACAGTGTCTACACTTCTTTGCACTCTAACTGCAATTGCCCGAAAAGAAAGTCCAGCTTCCCGAAGTCCCACAATACGGCACCTATCAAACTCACTAAGTTGACGAAATCGTACAGGTCTCCGTACTCTAGGCATCGTAACCGATCGTAAAGGATGTCAAGAACCAAAATCCGCCAACTTTGATTCTTTAATGCGGCTGAAATATTCATTTTTAGTGCGTTAGTGAATTAAAAAAAAAGCAGTATAAAAACCGGAATGTCCAACTGATAAGGCTGAAAAATTTTTCACTTGTTATTTACAGTAAGATAAATACATTCACCAACTTTTATTAAAATAAAATCATTTAAACTGGGTGTTCGGATTTATATGTCACTTAGTATAGATTTCACATCAAAAATAAAAATACTACTTTAGTTCTAGTGGCAATTTGTGATACAATCCTTAACCGTCTGTTTCTGAACCTTAATTTGATGGAATAAAAGAATATGACCTGAATAATCTGGAATACATTTTGTTTAATGGACTCGAAGTCATGGGGATAGAAGAAATATCCTAAGTTATAATTTTTGTTTTAATAACTGGTAGGATTTTTTTGGTATAGTCTTCTATAAGACTAAAAATATCATCATACGAAAAATCTTTTCCTGAACTTGATGTGAATTTTGAGATATGGATTGAGCTTGAAGAAAACGTGAATAGTCGAAACTGCATTCACCTGAAAAAAAAACTTCTAGATCTGTTATTGCATTATTTTTTCTTCTGAATAAATTTGATCATTTTATATCTGTTTCAGGCTAAGAATGATTTTTTATATATTCATTTACGTGCTTATCCGTCATGGAAATAACATTTTTAGTTAACAATAAATGCTAGTGAAAGCATCAATAACGTGTTTTTTTTTAACGCCCTTGGTATTAAAGATTACGCATAAATCCAGCAACCAATAAATGAATCTCAGTTAACATCTAAATCTCTAAATAATAAATACAAAAAATGGACTGACTTGGTACTTCTCACCCCGTACTTCTCTATTTCTCAGATTATTGAGACATACGTATGTGTTTTACAGGGGTGTTGATATACCACAGTGGAAACATACATTAAAGTTAAAAATATATAATTTGTCAAATTTGAACAAAAATGCCACGTTCTATGAGGCTTTAATAGTGTGCTTTGTAAATCTGTACCAAATAAATATTTATCGACAGCAAATGATCGCCAGGGTCAACGAAGGAAACCCATTAGTGTGGGTACGAACTTATAATTTATATGGTAAACGACTATGAGCTGAAACGCATTGTGCACTGAAGCGCAAGTAAAGAGTACAAGAGGCATCCATGAAGGAATACCCGCTATCAAGCGGGCTTAGCAACGGTATATGCTGCGGTTGCAACTAAGAGAGGACCCTTAACATGAGGGAGAACACTATTACTCAAACTTATTTTGTGTGTGTCTCCTAGGGCGTCTTTAGAAATCAAGAAAACATTTGTACAACGTTAAAAAACAGGTTCATCTTAGCATGTATCACACCAGACCAACGAAATCAAAAAACGTTTTCGTTATGTTGTAAATCACACCTTTTTGAATATCAAAAAAGTCGCGCTAGATGAAGCTCAACTTCCTAGAACATCAGGAAACTCGCATTGACTCAATTTTTTTCGGAATTTTAAATTGAACTTTTGAAGCATATTATTGTGGAGATGATTGATATGTTACAGGGTGTTCCTTAATGATATGCGAATATTTAAGGGTGTGAATCTGCATGAAAAATGAATGTTAGTTTGCTTTATAGACTACGGTCCAAAAATGTTTCCTTACAAAACTCGGGGTGTTGAAGTTTTAGGAAAAAATGGAAATCAATTTATATTTTCAGAAGCGCTTCAGATATTTCACTAAATATTTATACGTTGATAAAGTCGCATATTTTTCAATGCAAAAATAATTTTTAGCTTCAACAGTGGCGTGTGTACGGGTATTGACTTCGATATTTTTTAAGAAAAAATGGTTCAATTTAAAACAATTGATCTCACTTGAATTGTTTTCCTTCGATGCGCCATTTTTGAGGAAATAAATAAAAACCGTTCTATTGTCTAACTTGCAAAATTATTATTAATTTAATTCGAAAAATTAAACACAACAACTACTGACAACATAAACATAACATTAAAACCTTCGAAATTCTGAAATATTAATTAATTTCCATTTTTTTCCTAAAACTTCAAGGAAAACTGTAAGGAAACATTTTTGGACCATAGTTTATAAAGCAAACTAACATTAATTTTTCATGTAGATTCATACCCTTAAATATTCGCATATCATTAAGGAACACCCTGTAGAATATTCTTGCATTTCGTATATAAAAAGGTACCCCAAAGTTAAGGGTGGGGATGTTTCGAATACAGGTTTTGTCTTTCGCTGTAGGAGATACAAACTTCAACTATGTGAAACAAGTGAGTCTCAGTTTATTTGGAACCATTTTATGTTGTCATTTATTTATTTATTTATTTAATAACAATAACATCCAACAAAGACCATATACAATAATTCATCTTCATCAAGGACATCCTGATGACAGAAAGATGCACCTAGATGGTTCAAACCACCTGTATGTGCTTTCCGGACTTACAAATGAAAAGAAAATGCTATTTATTGGATTATAAAATGCAATAAAAAAACAATAATCAACCTCAATATCCCGAACAATAGTTCAATCATACTATGATACAAAAAATCATTAGAAAAACCTTTCAAATTGTGCAGTATTCTCAAAAATATATTATCTGCAGCTGGTGCTAAATGTTTTAATGTTTTTCAACTGTTTCAAGTGTTCTGGCAGAATGTTATATATCTTTGGTCCTATATACGTTATGTATCTTAAGTTTAGGTTATTGTTATTCTTGGGAATATCTATTTGCCTGCCCACATTTGCACGAGTACAGTAGTTATGACTTACTTGTTTCTGTAGTTTTTCATTTCTATAAATAAAAGTAGATACTGTCATCACGTACAAGGATCTGGTGGTTATAGGCTTTAGCGTGAAACTATGCTTTTTTAAAAGACAAAAATACAACACCCTAGAGTGACAAAACTCAGATACCGTCGCAGGAGTTGAGTAATGTTATTTCTTATGGTTTTACGTTTACTTGTATTTTTTATTTATAAGCACTTACGTGTTTGTTCCCTTCCTGTGCAGTCAACATCTAAAGGATACTGGCAAGGATAAGCGTTTTTACCAGTCGCTGGGTTGAAAAGAAGACCATCAGGACAAGTTTTTTCCTCTCCTACACCATCTTTACACTCAATGTAACTGAAATGAATTGAAAACGTGTTACCGCTATAGTTAATACAATCATTAAAATGTTTACCCATCACAGGTCCTGGTGGGAAACCTTCCGTCTCTCTCCGGACAACTGACTCCGGAATACGGCACTTGTGGGATGTCCCTCACCAAGTTTGTGTGGTAATCCGGTTGATAGTTGTTGAATTTCTGTTGCGGTTGATAGTTATTGAATTGCTGTTGCGGACGATATCTCTGGCAGCAAACTGAAAGTGGATAGGAACGATACAGTACTCATTATACGGAAACAAGAAACAGAAGACTGAACTATCATACAGGGTGGACCAGAAAGACGTTCGAAATTCAAAACCGTATTTCGCGCACAACATTTCCGAGGAGATGTCGGCTATCCCACGTGTGTACGTCTCGATGGCTAACATCTCTATTTTGTTATTTTAAAAAATAGAATTCCCTAAGCCAGCGCTGTCCAACATACGGCCCGCGAACTCCTTTCTTGCGGCCCGCTTCACAGGTCATGTATACATATACTAAGTGACATATAAATCCGAACACCCAGTTTAAATGGTTTTATTTTAATAAAAGTTGGTGAATGTATTTATCTTACTGTAAATAACAAGTGAAAAAATGTTCAGCCTTATCAGTTGGACATTGCGGTTTTTATACTGCTTTTTTTTAATTCACTAACGCTCTAAAAATGAATATTTCAGCCGCAGTAAAGAATCAACGTTGGCGGATTTTGGTTCTTGACATCCTTTACGATCGGTTACGATGCCTAGAGTACGGAGACCTGTACGATTTCGTCAACTTAGCGAGTTTGATAGGGGCCGTATAGTGGGACTTCGGGAAGCTGGACTTTCTTTTCGGGCAATTGCAGTTAGAGTGCAAAGAAGTGTAGACACTGTGGTTAGGTGTTGTCAGGCATGGCTTCGAGAAGGCCGTACGCAAAGAGCAAGGGGCACTGGACGGCGCCGTAGAACAACAGACCGTGAAGATCGCCGCCTAAGATTATTGGCCTTAAGGGACCGTTTCTCCACTATCAGGTCCATTGCAAATGAATGGTTTGCAGAACACGGAAGACCTATTGGCATGCGAAGTGTTTACCGACGAATGAGAAGTTTTGGCTTGTTTTCATACCGGCCACACTGGGTCCTCCCTTTAACTCGAGAACACCGACGTAATCGCCTTGAGTGGTGCAGACAACGGTCACTCTGGGATCAGGAATGGAACGAGCCTCGATTTTGTTTAGGCATGCACGATGGTCGTGCCAGGGTTAGAAGGCGACGTGGTGAAAGGAGGAATCTACAGTTTTTTGTTGAAAGACATGTTCATCACACTGTTGGAGTTATGGTTTGGGGTGCTATAGCTTATGGTTCCAGGTCACCTTTAATCTTCATCAGAGGTAACATGAACGCGCAGCGTTATATCCACGAAGTTCTAGAACCCCATCTTTTACCCTATCTTGACACCCTGGCAGATCCAACTTTCCAACAAGATAATGCCCGACCACATGTTGCAAGAGTCACAATAGACTTCTTTCAACATAATGATGTCACATTGTTACCATGGCCACCAAGATCTCCCGACTTATCCCCAATTGAGCACGTGTGGGATATGATGGGTAGGAGATTGCTCAATTTGCAACGTACTCCTGAGACTCTAGAAGCACTTCGAGAGGAGTTGGTGGTTGCCTGGCATGAGATACCACAGGAGGACATTGACCACCTGATCAGAAGCATGCCTAGGCACGTTGGAGAATGCGTAGCACATCAGGGTGCATCCACACATTATTAAAGGTCAAAGGGCTTTAAAGAAGTGCAATCATTTTGAAATTTTTATCATTTACTTATTATGCTTCATTAACTACTTATACAAAATTTTATTAAAATATAATGTACTACATACCTATTAAAACTCAGTAATAATGTTGTATAGAAAGATTTTACATTATGTTGGACAGCCCTGCCCTAAGCTTTGTAGCTTTTTCTATGATTTTTTAAAATCCGCTCAACTTAATGGCCCACCCTGTACTATAGATAAAGAGCTCAGTGTAATATGCCTCGTTCCACGAAGTATCTTGCCTGAAAACGGTAATGCCAAAAGATCGAAAGCACGCTGAAGGACAATCGCATAGACCAGTGGTCGTCAACTCGTCGATCGCCAGCCACCGGTAAGTCGATTCCGGTGGCTTAAAAAAGTGTAAAAATCACAGAATATTCCGTAAATTCTCATAACAAACACAAGCAGCGGCAACACTGCGGCGAGCGATCTGTTCGAGATCGATCTCGATTACTTTGAACGGAATAAATACGCAAGCCGCGGTGACAGTGCGCTCAGTGTAAAACTGAACGATAGAAAGTGCAGCGGTTGGGTTAGAGTTGGCCTGCAATTAAAAACATTATGAGTAGTAGTAAGAAGATGAAGACATACAATTTCCATTCCGAATAGAAATAACAATATTTCTTTACAGAAGTTAAAGGTAAAAATGTATTTTTGTTATGAAATACATCTGTTTCCCTTGCTAAAAAATAAGGGAATATCGGGAGGCACTATAAAACACGGAAAAGCGGACAACAGACAATGTTTTTTTAAACAATCGCCAAAAGTAAGGCTGCAAATTAAAAATGACTGAAAATCAAATAGTCAAAAGAATGTGGCTATCGCTCCATCCCCAAGTCAATGATATGCTGTTTAAATGGTTTCAACAAAAGCGTGCTAATAATTTTCCCACAAGTGGACCTATGCTACAAATAAAGGCTGAAGAATTTGGGAAATTGATTGGAGATTACTTCAAATGTAGTTCCGGTTCGCTAGACAGGATTAAGAAAACACATAACATTGTTTTTGGAAAAATGCGTGGTGAGTCAGCTCCAGTTGACAAAAACGTTACCAATGACTGGATTTCTCAAGTTTGGCCCATAATATAATATCCAGTGATTATTCAGATGATAACATATTCAATGCAGATGAAACCCGGATATTTTATAAAATGCTACCAGGTAAAGCTCATAAATTAGAAGGTGAAACTTGCAATGGAGGGAGAATATCAAAAGTGCGAATAACTGTTATGATTTATGCTAATGCTTCTGGTCGTCGTTATTTTCCTGATTGTTTGTTGTATAATTAGTAACCTCTTTTATAATCTCTTCGTCAGACATTTCATGAAAAACATTTTCCTCTTTATCCATTCCACGGCACCAGATTTCCAAATCTTCCGGGCTAATCTGTGTTTCAGTAGCGACTTGTTCTATAACTTCTGAGGTAACACTGATTTGTGGAACGTTGCTAGGAGTGGTGACTATATCTGGCCATAACTTTTTCCAAGACGATTTAATAGTTGATGACGGTAACGCATTCGACGACTGACAAAGGGCAAAAACCAAGTCTTTCATTCTTTTAAAGTTTTTTCTATTGGTTGGTCTTTTGATACGGCTCTCAGAAGTAGGTTTTTCTTATAGTCTTGCTTGACAAACTGAATGATATTCTGGTCCATTGGTTGAATCAGTGCAGTGCAATTTGGCGGAAGAAACATCGCAGTGATGCATTTATCCTCAGTTGTTAGTTCTCCTTCAGACGGATGACCGGGAGCGCTATCAAGAAGCAACAACGCTTTTTGAGGAAAATTATGATCTTTTAACGATTTTCCAACTTCAGGTACGAAGCATTCATTAAACCACTTTTTGAAAAGGTCTTTTGTCATCCATGCACTTTTTTGTCCTTAATAGTGTACAGGTAAATCAATGTTTTTGAATGCCCGTGGTTTATTAGATTTCCTAATGACCATCATCTTAAGCGGGTGTGTGCCCTCAGCGTTAGCACATGGTAGTATGGTTACACGCTCTTTACTTATTTTTCGTCCAGGTACGGATTTTTCGTTACAAGAAACGAAAGTTTTGTTAGGCATCACACGCCAAAAAATCCCTGAATCGTCTGCATTGTACAGCTGTGACGGGTCAAGGTTTAAATCGTTCACCTTTTGCAAAAATCTTAATTTAAAGGGCTCTATGCAGGTGGCATCGTTAGAAAGTTTCTCTCCTGTAATAGTCGTTAAACGTATGCCATGACGACTTTTAAAGCGTTCTAGCCATCCTTTGCTGGCCACAAAATCATTTTTTTTATTTCCTTATAATTTGCATGCCTATTTCTTTCCTGAAGAAACCACATGTACAAAGCCTCTTCCACTTCTGGATGTTCAGCTTTCTTGAGTGCCTGTCTCTTGCCTGGCCCGCAGTCAGTAGTTGACACGAACTCCTTGATCTTCTCGTGGTTTATTTTAATGTCATAAATTGTAGATCGTGGTTTATTTTAATGTCATAAATTGTAGATCGCCCTACGCCGTATTCACTTGCTAAACTACTGAAAGTTTCATTGCGATTTAAGCGGTCTAAAACATCACATTTTTCTTTAATTGTCAATGTTTTGTGCTTTCGCTTCTGAGTTTGTGATGACATTACTAGGTACTATACTTAATATACAATGAATAAATAGTAAACAATAAACGCACGCTAGGCCAGTAGTCAAACTCAAACTAAGTAAAACAATGCTTACGCAAACACCTACGATTGGTAGGAACGGATGTAGTTATGTAGAATGTATCAGTTTATTTAACTTTATTAGTATGTATTAGTATTAGTAAAATAAATAAACGTAAGTCACATACAATTTCATTTAGGTTGGCTTACTTTGCTTACGACAAAGAAGCTCACTGTTTATTTCTAAATTATCGAAGTAGCTCAACACACTGAAAAGGTTGGCGACCACTGGCATATACGCACCTGGTCCGGAACACCGGAAATTTTTCAAAGATCGACTTCTACGGCATTACAATATTTTTATGCGATAATTTGAGTTATAGCCAACTTTCGAAAAAAATGAGATCTTACTTTTTTAGGATAGTCCAAAGATCAAAAAGAAGCATACAAAATTTTCCAAGATCAAACATTGAGAATCTGACATAGCCCCAAACTTTGGTATAAAAATCTTACTTCCTTTACTCACTCTGTATAAGTGAATAAATAAAATAAATATACCGGTCGAACCCTGCACGTGTTCTCAAAGAGTTGTTCAAGAACCTCCCGAACACCGTACCTCGATATCTCTGTCCGTTCAGAAAATATCGAGATTTGAATTTGGGTAAAATGTTAAATAGTGTGTTGCTTTTTTATTTTTAGTTACCTTTATTAAATCGTATGTGACATGCCTGACGCAAAATTTTGTCTTTTTGCAAACACCTACGATTGGTAGGAAT